TTTATTCATGGGTATTGCACTGATTTCTCCGATTGTCACAGCATCTCGTTTGTGTTTCATTATTTTCATCCAATTCCTCTAATTATAGTTAATCTACATCTGCACTCAAGCTTTCTAGCGACAAAGTGCAACATCGCATCCATTGTAACTCAAACTGACGTTACTCAATAAGCCCTTTTAAACTGATCAGTCTAGTTGGCTGTGTCAATGAGATGGCTTTATATTCTCAAAGGGTTTCTCCGAGATAATTGGCTCAATAAAGGACCAAGAAGATATTCACAAAGCAGAAGCGCCCTGAATAGCACTGTCTCAGGTTGTCAAAGACATCATGATGTCACTACTGGGCCCATCTACTCAGTCTAGTTTGGCCAGTGTAATGGAGTCAATATGAAACTTCTGCTTCTGAAATGGAATCTAGGGGACACTCAGAAATTGTTCAAAAGACAATTCACTTCTGATCTTAACAAAGGGAAACTGGAATACATGCTAAGTAAGATATAGCAAGCCATTATTTGTTATAGTTCAAATATTCTTTTCTGTGGGTGATCATCCCTGTCCAAGCTTGAATCCTTCCTCGGACTGCACTTTTTCTGACTGAAATCATCTGCCTTTCGCCACTCCGGGTTGGAGGTTACTTCCCCTGAGTGCGCCAACATACACAGGCACTACTGATGCCTTCACTTGTTATGGCAATGATGTTACAAGGCACTAGTGAAAACCGGATCACTCACGTAGTCCAGTTTAATTTAATTGAGCAAGACACATCTAAACTTATGTACTGCAAGTGAGTCCATTTGTCGTAACTGGATCAAACCATTTCTACTCCAGTTGAGCTGGCATGTTACCAAATAACAGTATCCTATTGATACATGGTCAGCAGTTGCATTTAAAAGCACAGGGAAAAGCCATATTTTTCCGAGGAATACACAGTCCCTTGGCTGTTTGGTTTTGTTCCAGTATACACCTATTGTCTTCAGAACGTCTTTGCGGTGTAAACTAAAAAAGGGGCAAAAGCAGGAAACAGGGTGCATTTATTGGCAGTGTTGCATGAATACATTTTCCAAAAGTGTGCTTATTCTTTATATATGGAATTTTGATCACTCATTCTTTAACGTCATTCCCATTTCCAGACCATATTCCACACAGATGTTCCAGTATACTATGCCAGCCACTTGCTTATGGCGCTCAAGGTGTTCTTTCTCAGGCAGTGGCAGTATGTGCTTGTCTCAGGGGCCTCTTTGGCAGTCCTTAGTGTGGTAGATCTGAGCTATTGCTCAGAGCATGCCCTTGTGTGATCATTACTATACATGCAGCATAGTAATGAAAGTTGAGTGGACATTTGGTTTTACATTTAGATTGTGTTGTGTATGTGTCTTTTTGCACTTCTTGTTACACAGCTCCTACATCTGCTGCTGTGGTTGTTTGTTTTTTGATGAGTGTGATGTCAAATGTAGACTCTGCTATTGCTAATAGTGCACAGGCTGTGGTATTTCAAATGAATGACTACTATTTTGATGAATGCATTAAAAGCGTACTCGTCAAATTCCATGTTCTGTAAACATGAGATTGGGTCATAAGGTAAATGGGTAATTATCTTTCCACTATAATTTTAAGGCCAATCGAATGTGCATCTTTTCATTTTCATGGACAGTATGATGTCAGTTGCTTTTAGCTGGCTGTGTATCATAAAGAAGTGTATTATTAGCATCACAACAGTTCAACTCAAACAGAATAAAGTCGGTTGTCAACCAAAGACAATCTGCCAGAAATGTCTCTCAGATCATGTTTGTAAATTACATCTTGGATTTCATGAAATGACATGTCTTATAAGAAAATATCTCTTGCCTTGTCTGCGTTCTGTGTAGCTGAGGTTTCTTTCACATAATATTAGTACTATTATGTTTTTTTCCATCAGCCTCGTTCCCTTTGACCAAGCACAGAATACAGATTCATCCTCCACATAATTAACTAGCATGGAGTTAAATACTTTTTCCACTGTGGCTGTAATTAAATGGATTAAGTTCAGTGAACTAACCTGTCCCTCAGGTGTGAATTACATGGCTCTGTGGGGATAGCATTACTGTCTCTGTAAACTGCCTGTCTGTCAGACCCTCTGAAGCCTTTATTCTTCTGTCTATGTGAGCGCAAAGGAGGGCCGGCCACAGGAACTGTTGTCGAGGTTAGGGAAAACAGTGGATTCACATGCATTTACAGAAAACCAATCCATGTAATTTTAATGAATAGACACAAATAAAGTTCTTTGCCAACACCGTGTATGGTGCGGGTGGAGGGCTGCTGACCTCGACTGGGGATATTGTCGGGCGGTGGAAGGAATACTTCGAGGTTCTCCTCAATCCCCCCGTCACGTCCTCCGTCCAGGAGGCAGAGGCTGAGGATGTTGGGGCGGATACTTCCATCTCCCTGGCCGAGGTCACCAAGGTGGTTGGCAGCCTCCATGGTGGTAAGGCGCCGGGAGTGGATGAGATCCGTCCTGACTATCTAAAGTCTCTGGATGTTGTAGGACTGTCTTGGCTGACGTCTCTGCAACATCGCGTGGCGATCGGGGGCGGTGCCAATGGAGTGGCAGACCGGGGTGGTGGTCCCTCTCTACAAGAAGGGGGACCGGAGGGTGTGTTCCAATTATCGTGGGATCACACTCCTCAGCCTCCCCGGTAAGGTCTACTCCAAGGTACTGGAGAGGAGGCTACGTCCGATGGTCGAATCTCGGATTCAGGAGGAGCAGTGTGGTTTTCGTCCCGGTCGCGGAACACTGGACCAGCTCTATACTCTCCATCGGATACTCGAGGGTTCATGGGAGTTCGCCCAACCTGTCCACATGTGCTTTGTGGATTTGGAGAAGGCGTTCGACCGTGTTCCCCGGGGTGTCCTTTGGGGGGTCCTCCGGGAGTACGGGGTCCGGGGTCCTCTGCTGAGGGCTGTTCGGTCCCTGTATGACCGGAGCCAGAGCTGTGTCCGCATTGCCGGCAGTAAGTCAGACCTGTTCCCGGTGCATGTTGGCCTCCGCCAAGGCTGCCCTTTGTCACCGGTTCTGTTCACTGTATTTATGGACAGAATCTCTAGGCGCAGCCAGGGGCCGGAGGGGGTCCGGTTCGGGAACCACAGGATTTCATCTCTACTTTTTGCGGATGATGTCGTCCTGCTGGCTCCAACGAACCAGGACCTGCAACATGCACTGGGACGGTTTGCAGCCGAGTGTGAAGCGGCTGGGATGAGAATCAGCACCTCCAAATCCGAGGCCATGGTGCTCGACCGGAAAAAGGTGCCTTGCCCTCTTCAGGTGGGTGGAGAGGTCCTTCCTCAAGTGGAGGAGTTCAAGTATCTCGGGGTCTTGTTCACGAGTGAGGGGAGGATGGAGCGTGAGATTGACAGGCGGATCGGTGCAGCGTGCGCAGTGATGCGGTCTCTGTATCGGACCGTTGTGGTAAAGAGGGAGCTGAGCCGAAAGGCAAAGCTCTCAATTTACCGGTCAATCTTCGTTCCCTCCCTCACCTATGGTCATGAGCTGTGGGTAATGACCGAAAGAACGAGATCGCGGATACAAGCGGTCGAAATGAGCTTCCTCCGCAGAGTGGCTGGGCGCTCCCTTAGAGATAGGGTGAGGAGCTCAGTCACACGGGAGGAGCTCGGAGTAGAGCCGCTACGCCCGGGAGGAGGCCCCGGGGAAGACCCAGGACACGCTGGAGAGACTATGTCTCTCAGCTGGCCTGGGAACGCCTTGGGGTCCCCCCGGACGAGCTGGAGGAGGTGTGTGTGGATAGGGAAGTCTGGGCGTCTCTGCTTAGATTGCTGCCCCCGCGACCCGGCAACGGATAAAGCGGAAGAAAATGGATGGCTGGATGGAGACACAAATAAAGGCTGTGATATTAGTCATAGAATCTAAACTATTGACATTTATTTAAACAGGGTTAAACAAGGTTTCAGACGCTCTTTTTCACACTTTTTGTCTTATCAATCAATCAATCAATCAAAGTTTATTTATAAAGCGCTTTTTATACAACAGATGCAACACAAAGTGCTTTACAGTTTGGCTAAAAAACAATCCTGCCCATGCCCTCCCCCCGACCGCCCAACAGACCCTCCCCAGACCACAAGCAAACACCCCCCCCCCCCCCCCCCGAGAGAGGGGGGGGGGGGGGGGGGGGGGGGCCCATAGCCAAAGGGGACGACACAGGACCCAGAGGAGACCCAAAACCGAGGCCCCGGGCCCCCACCAGGTCCAAGAGTCCGACCCCCACAGCCACAGCCAACCACCGCTCCCAGCGCAGAGGGCTCCTCCAGAGGAAACACTGGGGATACTAAAAACAATACAATAAGTAAAACACTAAAATGTGAGCCTGAAAGGAATTATCACACAAAACATGAATAAAAGCAATAGCAATATAATAAATAATAAAAGATAAATAGAATATATAAAAATGGACTAATAAATACTAATCAAAAGCTAATCTAAAAAGGTGTGTCTTGAGCCTGGCTTTAAAAATATGAATATTCTCTGAATGTTATCTCTCTTATTACAAAATTACTTCAAAACTTCACCTAAATCAGATAAATCCTTGACTGGCCATTCAAAATTTTCCCATTTGGGAGTCTTGCCCACTGGTACAGTGTCAGGATAGAAATCTGTTTTATTTCTCAGATGATGGCTCCTAGTTGCACCAAATGATACTTTCAGAAACAAATCAAACGTGAACGCAATCAAAGGTGGTCTTCACCGTGCATTCAATGGAGGTTTTTTGAGATGACCTTGTCTCGTGTGGCACTGAGCTTGGGCATGATCAAGGGAAGGTCAATGTTGGCACAGCAATTTTTCCTCCAGGGCTCTCCCCTCTGCTGACAGCCATCGCTCATTCTGATCCTTCTCATTACTGCCACACTTTTGGACCTGAGCTTAGACCTGAGGGCCGTGCAGAGGGCACGTAGACCAGGAAACACCTTGTGACAGATGAGGGAGTGGGCTCATTGATCTTGACAGGGTTTCTTCAACTCACAGTGGCGCTCTAGGGATGGACAAGAGTTGTTTTACATTTTAACATGGGGCAAAAGATAGTCACGACAAAACACATTTAAATTATTCCGTCATCTTAGAAGAAATTGATCTAAATGTAAATGTATCATTTTGGCATTTATCTCCAGGCCTTTAGGGATGGTCTTTTTAAAGAATAATCTTGAATCTCCCATTTTTCATAATCGGAGGTTCCTGCGGCATGTTGTCTTTTCTTAGAGCTCAGCAAGAAAATACCCAATTTGGGAGTGTTTGTAGTTCATCACATCCAGATTTAATAGACATACCTGAACGATTTTTATACATTCTTTTTTGCCACCTATTGACAAAGGTACAAAGGTGTGGCCTTTTACTTGCATATTTCAATGTTTACCCTACAGATGTTTAAGACATACTGAAAAGAACAGCTGCTATAGTAGTTTGACTTAAAATCAGAAAAAGTTTACACGCACTACTGTACATACACACCTGTATTTTGTCTTTCAAAGCAACCAGCACACCACACATCACTGCTGATCAAAAATTGTGCAAATCCTGTGCAGTTCTGTCCCCCAAAGACAATAACTTAATCCAACCGGTCAATACAGCCCACAGGTCTTGATGGAAAGGACACTGCTTTAGCTACAGTTTGTCAAGAGGAGTTTCTCTCCAGGGTGCTGAGGGAGAGCAGCTCTGTCACCTGGGAGGAGGCCAGCGCTGAGTAAGCCCCCGGCAAGTTGCTGGAGGTGCTATGTCTCTGCTGTCCAGGGAGCGCCTCAGGATTCCCCCAAATGATCAGGACGCTTAAACGCTTCACCATCCGATCATCCGTTCCTGAGGGAATGGGAAAAGATGAACAGTTAGACCGGAATCCTCACTTTAATCCTGTAGGTTACAAATAAGCTCTTCTGCAGTAGCTCACCTGCCTCAAAGGGATCTGTGGATTCTGCCTGCAAACCTCTCTCACTGGACAAATGAAGCTTCATACACTGTAAAAAAGAAAAAGTTAGTTCAACTCAAAATTTCAAAGCAACCAGCTGCGAAGGATTTTTGAGTTGAAGGCATTAACTTAATTCTTCACGTTTTGAAGAACTACACTTATTGAGTTGTGTCAGCTAAGTTTTCCAAGTTCTGCTAACTACGTTTTTAAATTCAAGTTACTGGAAATTTCAAGTCTGTAAAATCTTACTTTTTTACTGTCCCCTACAATAACTTAGTATTTTGAGTTTAAATTAGCCCCCACATTAAACCATCATGATGTTTATTTATATAGCGCGTTTTACAGACCAAGGTCACTTGGGCAGAATGGGCAAAATGTTGAATGCAGCTGGTTGCCATGACAAATATTTAAATGAGCAAACGCAGATAAGTTGACCGCACTCTAGCTCGGTGAACTGTAAAAACGACAACTCAAAATTCTTCACCTTACTCAGATTTTTGCATTCACGGATAATAAAATTGCCAGTTGGAACTGGAACTGTCTGTTGTGAGCCACTTGAACTCACTTTCAGAAGTTCACTACAACTTCAAAGTAAAATCAACTTAATATATCAAATAAGATGAACTTTTCATCAGAAACTTCTGAAAGTTTCTGATGTCACGGTGGCTGAGTGGATAGCACTCTCGCCTCTCAGCAAGAAGGTCCTGGGTTCGAATCCCGGCCGGACCAGGGCCTTTCTGAGTGGAGTTTGCATGTTCTCCCCGTGTCTGCGTAGGTTTCCTCCGGGTACTCCGGTTTCCCCTGCCACTAAAAATATGTACAATAGGTCTGGCATGCGCCTCCTGTTCGGCGACCCCGCTCCCATCTCTGTGTGGAGTGAGAGGACAAGTGCTCAAAAAATAACAATTGTAAACCGCTTTGTGACTCTGGTCTGTGAAAGGCGGTATATAAATAAAGCTTACTTACTTACTTAAAGTGGGTTCAAGTGGCTCAAAACAGACAGTTGCAGTTCCAACTGGCAATTTTATTGTCAGTGAATGCAAAAATCTTAGTAAGGTGAACAATTTTGAGTTGTACACTCGCTTTCTATTGTTGTTTTTTTATGCCTTACAGCGTCCACTCTTTATTTACATTGCAGACTACAATAGGATTTAGTAATCACCCCTTTTCAGAAATATATTTACAAAGTTGGTGTACATGGTCTTGCCTTATTTTAAACACAAAACTGGGTCATCGGCTCTGCCAAAAATTTTACAATTCGGGATGTCATGAAATGACTGTCCTGCAATCAACGTAGTCATAATGAAAGCAATACATAATTGTGTCACTATAAAAAGTATGTCTATAGGAATAAGGATAACAAACACAAAATAATTATTCAATTTGAAGGTACGTCATTAATCTAATTTCAGTCGCAGTGCTTTTTCCAGAATTGTTCAGCCCTTAAATTGAGAGTGGCTTATCCTCTTTCCGCAATTGATGAACAATAGCGTCTTATTGCCCATTTGGCACAGACCCCAAGTAAGGCTTTTCTTTTTCCCTAATGCTACTTTGTTCTGCTGTCTCTTACAAGGTTCCAATAAACGTCAGATTGAAGATTGTATGTTTCCTGATGTTGGCTTTTGTAAATAATGGCAAAGTGAATTGACACGGGGACATTACTTGGCATTTTATTGGTTGCCCTTGCTATAAAAAAATCCATCCATTTTTTCCACTGTGATGATGGGTCAGTTTCTACAGACCACGTGTTGTGCGCCTCACCTCGTGCCGTACCAAGGACAGGAATCAGCATTGACACTGGTGACCTCTTTAATAGACTGCTTTAAATTGGACAGCGCTCGCCATGTAACGGAGTCCATCAACATGCTGACACGGCCTGCAGTTAGCATTATCTTTAGCGCTTTTGTGGGTAACCTTGAAGGACGTGTGTGAGATGAAACGATAGCGTATCACCAGTGGCAGACGATAGTGATAGAACATATCAATTGTGTGCGATGGGTGGCTCAGCATCCCCCGACTTGATGAATTGGATAATGCAAATATCTCAAGGTTATCAGTCACTCACTCACGCTGCAGGGCCGTTAGGATCAAGGATGGAATGTCAACACAACACTATTTCTGATGGGTAAAGATCCAGTTTGGAAAAAAATAAGAATGGTGATGTGATGTTCTGTACATACTGAAGAAATATAATTATCTCCTTCAGAAAGATGATTGATAGATTATGATTATGAAGAGGAATAAAAGAGAATGAAAATAGTGAATGAAAAGTCGACATGGCAAGTATATGCAAGTTTTTAGTTTTTGCAACATTGTTTTTCAGCAGTTAAAGCTGGGGTACCTAACTGTCAAACTACAAAAAATGTAACTAATAAAATCAAGCAGCTAGCTCATAATAGTGACTCAAATGGTTCTTTCTTTCAAGTGCTCAAAAGATAACATGTATTATAATAAGATAAAGACATAGATTGTGGTCTGTTTTGAAGCCTCATTCTGTTGGGACAAACTTTTCTATTATTAATGGGGAAATAAATGTCATGTATTTATTTGCTCTAAGTTTCTAATCCCTAGCACACACATTTTTACACACATATCTTTTTTTAAATGACAATTACCAATGAATTTCTACACAGTGTACTTTTTTGGCATTGCAGCAACATATATTTTTTAAGTCTGGTTCAGAAACTGCATCTAGGGACTTGCTCCAATTCTACCTGGACATGGGACAAAACATCTCAGCTAAAACTGGCACATTTTGCAGGCATTAGTCCCTATTTGTTCATTTGCGGCTGCCTTTGCTCCTATAAATCAAACCAATTGGACTCTGGTCAAGCATAAATATTGGATGCACATAAAAATATGGTATAATATAGAGAGCCTATAGGGGGCGGGCTGTTAAATTTTAATGCAGAGTCTCTGAACTGCAAATAGACTGGGTAAGAGTACGCCCACTGATGGGCTGTCATTACTGTAAAGACTCAAGGAACATTGGGAGGGACTATTTCGACAATCATCAATGTACTGTTTACAATGAATCTGGCATGTCTTTGAAACTTTAAAACCACAAAAACAATTAACAGAAACAGTGATATAATATCCATGTGACTTGAGTGGTTTGATTATCAGCTCCATAATCAAGAGCAAAGTGTGTCACTGAAAACGTAAATCCTGTGAAATCTGGCAGACTGGCATCCCTCAGGGAACAGTCCTAGGGCCGACTCTTTTCTGCCTTTATGTTAATGACCTCCCTGAAGTGTGTCTGGAAGTGGGCCTTCAGATGGAACAGTGGTTCATGTGTCTGGCAAAACCTCTGCTGCCATTGGTACTCACTGATGCCAAGGTTTGGAAAGTGTTTAATTGGCTGGACAATGCCTGACACTAAACACAAAGTACAGCCATGTGCTTTTCTGTTAAAAGAACATGAGACAGGGACTGTAAACTGACTATCTGTAGAAGCTTAAACTGTGTTATTAGAGAAAGGAGCAAACATTTGACTCTCTTTACTTGTGCACATTTAGTTTATTTGTTTATTTGGTTTGGATCCCCATTAGCCGGCAACAAGTGAGAACTCGTCTTTCTGGGGTCTAGACACATAACGTCTATGATCAGAGTGTCCACATTAAAAAAGCTGACAAAGTCCTGGTTCATTCAAGTGCAGCAGTGTGACCAGAACATAAGAGGACAGAGGGTGACTCTTTCATACATTTTTGGAAAAAAGCCTTTCTGTGGACTGATGTTGGCTATAACACTGTGATACCTGCATCAGAGTACTTCATGCGATTCTATGTGTGTTGTTTCTCTACCTATTAAATAAACAATACATAAATAACTATTTCCTCACTCTCAAAATAGTTTGGCTCCATCACCAGTTTTTACATGCATGTATTTATTCTGTCACATCTTTAGATGAGCGTTTTCAAACAGAAAAGTGAAAAAGAGAGGACCAACCTCACTCATCCTGGCATCTCTCTAATCATAAAAATGCTCAATGTTTTGGTCTGATTTGTTCACAAAATTTCTTTGAGACTGTTGAGACAAACAATAAATTAAAAGGAAAAATACAAAAAAACTTACTCAACTCAGAAAGTTAGTTGAAATATGTGATGTGAAGTTAGATTAAGGGAATAAGGATATTGGAATAAACATTACTTATTCAGATTTACGGCTCAGACTTTTTGAAATTTTATTCTCTTCAGTGTGATACACAACTTATGTTATTGCACCAGGCAGCTTTCACAAATCGTCTACATTTTTCCTCGATGCATTTGTGAAGAAAAGAAAAAGCTTCAGAATCCTTTCCCTCCCAGGAGTGGGTTAGTTTGGGTTTCCTGTCCGAATGATTAATCTTTCACATTATTTCACGGTGGGACTCATAACAGCATAACATTACCTGTGGACCCAATTACACAACTGACAACAGTATCAGCGCAGCTCTGACTTATGGAAGCATAAAGTCTGCGCTGAGTTTCAGTATTGAACAGATTCAGAGAAATGATGAGCATCAAAGGTTTAATTTATCTAAGTCCACACTTTCAAATTAAACAAATAACACTTTTAGGGCTTTTCCTGGCTGCGCAACTGGAAAATGGAAAACACAAACAATATTATATCGGTAATTCTTTGTTTTTTTTATACATTGATCGTTGTTTATGCAGTTTTGCCTGAGTGTCTTTAAACTACACATACAGCTGCGCTTGAACGTTGAATCACACAGACAGATATTTTGATGCATTTATTTTTTGACCATATTTTAGATTGTGATTTAATGATTTTTTGCTTTGATTTTTATTTGTTATTTTTTAATTGCTGTATGAAGCCATTTATTGTTTTACAAATGTCACATACATTTTCTATTTTCAAATTATAATGACAGCAGAAGCAGCTTAGAAGTTTAATCGCATATATTACCCCATTTAACATCTCTACAGAACGGAGTATTTTTTGATGAGGTTCTTTATCCTCTCCAATGGTAAAGCTGCCCATTCTTCTTGGCCATAAGCCTCCCGTTCCTATACATTCCTGGGTAGACTTGCATGAACTGCACCC